TCCCTTCCCTTCCCTTCCCTTCCCTCGCTCGCTTGCTCGCTCTCTCTCTCTTTCTGTTCGCCTTTTCTCTCCTTTCTTTTCTTTAGCTCTTTCTTTCTTTGTTTTTATTTCTTTCTCTTTCTTTCTTTATTTCTTATTTATTTCATCTTTCTTTCTTTCTTTCTTTATATTTCTTTCTCTTTCTTTATTTCTTTATTTCTTTCTTTTCCTCTCTCTATCTCCCTTTCTCTCTCTTTCATTCTCTCTCTTGTTCTCTTTCTTTCTTTCTGTCTCCTCCTTCCTTTCTCTCTCTCTCTCTCTCTCTCTCTCTGTCGCTGTCTCTCTCTCTCTCTGTCATCTGCCGTGATGCCAGGGCCAACCAATTGGCTTCACGGGCGGTATTAATGCATCCAACGTGCAGGAGGGGCTCTGCAAGTCCAAATCACTATTGGGCCATTAAGTAGCTACTCGTCTTGCAATTTGGACCAACCTGAAATGCCAGATCTGTTGAGTTACCGTGGACCCGAAGATTGGCACAGGTTCCGTAGGCGGGCGGTCCCATTTTCTTGAGCTTGTGCCATCTCATAGGCGGTGCATGTCAGGTTCAGTCTATGAGGCTGAGGGATGACACTTTGAGCTTCGGCCTCGGGTCAGGAGTGGTTTAGGGTTTAGGCTTATGCTAAATAGCCCCATCAACATCCGACAGGATCTATCTCTTTCGGAGTATGACCCGTGTTTGTGCTTGCAAGTGATGTGTTCCACAGCCGGGAACCTGCATGAAACCTTTTAACCTCTACACCCATGAAAGCATTAACTAAAGCCCAAAATCTTCAGTTGCAGGAGCTGTTGGTTTTGAGTCCGACGCAGGACTGGCTCACCAAATACTCCGCAGCAGCCGCGGCCCATGGCTGCGAATGCATCAGCGATGCCCAGACAGGCGGAGTTGACGTAACAATCTCGGGCTCGCTCCAAAGAAGTTGTGAAGTTAGGCAGGAGATTCTCAAGCCCCAAACCCTCCGAAGCCTTAAACCCCACAGCAAGCCTCGTTTTGGGAACGCGGCAGGCTTCCGAGCGGGGAAAGATCGAGGGCAACCGATCGACGTCGCAGCCCTGCAAGAACTCGTGCGGAACGTGTACCAATGGGGCACGTCCAGCGCGTAAAAAGTGACGTGCCATTGCTGTGACTCCTCCCCACATCCGTTCAGGTCAGGACATGATTGACAAGACTGTGACAGCTACAGCTAGTACTGGCCTCTATTGTGTCATCGTCTGTGCTGCTTCGTTTGCGATTCTTCAGTTCAGGTAACAGTAAAGAGTCCTCAGTGAGAAGCCTGACATCAAACATCACAACTGCCGTGGTGGGTCGCTTCTGACTAACAGGTGCTGGACGCTGGGGTCGACGGTTGTGCTTTCAACTGCGCCAGGTGTTTCCGGCCCCACACCTCGTGACCCGTGAAATCACGGGAGGTTTTAGTTCCCTGGATCTTTCTGTTTCAAGACGGATCTGGTCTTGGGGACTCGGGCATCGAACCTCAGAGCTACTAGGAAGATGGAGGGAGTGCTTGTTTTGCTAGTTCGGGCCCTACACCCGAGACATGCGTTTGGCTTTGTCCGGTGTTGGGTTCACATAGACTTCTGGACACCAAAGTGGTGTAAGGATGTTGTTCTCGCATAACGCTGCAAACGGCGAGTAGGTTGTGCTGGCAGAGCTCCAACCCACGAAATCCCTCGATCGCAACATCGAAATCTGCAGCCTGCACATGCTCGTGGGAGATACGTGTTTCTCTTTTTTTGCCGTCTTGTCCAATATGTCAATATGAAAGTCCGAAAGGTCTTTCAGCAGCAAAAAGCAGGACCATGCTTTCAGGGTTTCGAGGGTACGTTCTTCGGTTTTGGGTGGCAGGTTTTCAGGTTGGCGTTCAATTGGGGGTTTGAGGGTTTAGGGTTTCTGTGTTTGGGGTTCAGGCTTCAGGACTTTAGGCTTTGGGGTGGGGTTGCTGGAGGATGCACCCTCTGGAACTGTCTCTTTGCTTGTTTGTTTGTATCTGTCCCTTTCTCTCTCTCTCTCTCTCCCGCCTCCCTCCTGTGCAGTCCTTTTGTCGCTCTGTATTGTCGGGAACCTGCCCAAGAAGCTCGGTTCCCGGTTTCCAGTGCGTTTTCACTGCTTGACTTCTCCTAAGCCTTTTCAATTCGAAGTAGAGCTTCCACTGCAGACCTTTCATCGCTACAAGGGACCGGAAGGGAGTGTCTTTTTAGGGTTCTTGTGGTAACGTGCGTATGAGGGACGCGCTTAGGAGATAATGGCAGCAGCGGTAGGAGTGAGAGGAGCTGCAGCAGAATTGCACACCCATCGCAACAAGCGTGAGAATAATGATTGAGACTGTGTTTCGCGCGCCGACGTTGCGTTGAAGTGCCCACGAGCGAACCGTCCAAAACCCAAACCCTTAAGGCCCAACAAACTAGCAACAACAAGCCCATACACCGTAAATAAACTCGAACCCTAACCCTAAACCCTACACCCTAGAACCCTGAACCCTACACCCTAGAACCCTAAACCCCTCACCCCAGAACCCTAAACCCTAGAACCCCAAACCCTAAACCCCAGAACCCTGGAACCTTAAACCCTACACCCTAGAACGCTAAACCCTAGAAGCCTAAACCCTACACCCTAGAACCCCAAACCCTAGAAGCCTAAACCCTACACCCTAGAACCCTCAACCCTAGAACCCTACACCCTAGAACCCTAGAAGCCTAAACCCTACACCCTAGAACCCTCAACCCTAGAACCCTACACCCTAGAACCCTAGAAGCCTAAACCTTACACCCTAGAACCCTAGAAGCCTAAACCCTAGAAGCCTAGAGCCCTACACCCTAGAACCCTCAACCCCCCAAAAAAGGCTCCCGAACGAGCTGCAAATCTCGGCCCAGCAGCCCGGGGTCGCAGCCGGCCCAAGGAGAGGCCGAAGACCCGCCCGGGGCCAAAAAAGGTGCATTGCATGTATGTATGCATGTATGTA